ATAAAATCCGTCAAGAAAAGACCCTGAAATGGAAGAGAAATAGAAAGAAAAAAAAAACAACAGAAAAACACGATGTTACGTTTAAAATAATATTACGCCTTTCATCTCCTCACACAGAAGAACTCACATTGCTCGAACAATCTACAAACTGTTGTTGTTTTTGTTTTTTTTATGTGTGTTTTTTTTTTTTTGGTTTGTTTTTAAACATGACGCTGTCAAAATGTAAATAAGGTTGCCCCGTGCCCTCTGCTATATTTTAATTGCTTTTTTTGACAGCAATCCCAGCTNGGGGGTTGCTGGCCTGAGCGTTGTACAAGAAATAATCTGAAAACAACAGGAAGCAGTTGACCGAAAGTTACAAAAATCCACATTTCAAATGATTACGCCTCACAACAGATTCGCTTTCCAAGTAAATCCTGACGCTGATAATAAAATAAAATAAAATTAATATATATAATATATCAACAAGTTAAAAGTTTATCACTTAAATTTTATCATGCAGAATCAATTGAAAGGTTCTTAAAGACTAATTTGATATCATTGTTTGTGGAAGTAGAAATATGATTATTGTCAGCATAGCTGACACTTGTAGCATAGTTTCTAGCTGCTATCATCTCCACAGATAGTAGCCAGTAGCTCTATCGTAACAATGGGCATAGTAGCTGATTTATCATTTGCATCTTGCGGAACTGATATACCAGACAAGTCAACATCATCATCATCTAACCATTCAGCACTTAATATAGAAGCATTGTCGGTGTGAGCAATAAGTCCCATAAGCTCTCTCTGTCTCCTGGCAGCTACTTGAATTAGTTGAATCCTTTTTTGTTAAGGAGCAGGTGGTAGTTTCTTTTGCATTGTCGGTGCTGTTGAACTTGCTATTTCAACATGATTTGTGATACAAAATAGATGTTACAGATTTTGCAAATCCGTTCAAGCAGCGATGTTATTATTACTACTCAATTTACTTTCCACTAATTCTCAAAATATAGTATTCCTACTCTATCAATACCATTTTTATCTTGACCATACATAGCTCTTGGGCCTCATCCTTGTTCCATACCTGCAACATGACCGCAAACATACCGCCCTAGTCATTTGCGACAAATAGGATCTACAGAAGAAGAGAGGCCAACTTTTGCCTTCTCTTGCATTAACTAAATGTGCTAACATTCTGACCAGCAGTCACCAGTGCACGAACGGACACACATTAAATAAATCTTATATTGTTAAAAGCCTAAAAAGTATTTAACTATTTTAATTTAATGTCATTAAATTTGTTAAAATAATCAATTTTTAAGATTAAAATTTTAATAGAGAAAACATGATTGTTCACGTCAACTAATCACTAATCTAAACCCCACCCCCCTGTCAACAATTCTCAAACATTTCCAACCCACCCTCCCCCCCCCCCATTTTGTTGACATAATTAATGGTCGGCCCCTTTGCTGTATTGTACTCAATTTCTGTAGGTGTTTTAAAAACTTCAAAGGTCGTGAATACTTTTGAGAACAATTTTAAAGTGCAATGTGCCTATACCAAACTTATAAAACAATGATTAAAATTTAGCATATAATATATATATATATTTTTTTTTAATTTTAGCTTTGGTGGTTGTGAACCTATTTAATTAAAAATCTAACTTTGATGCGTTCTGGTGCAAGATCTGCGTGTTGACAAATTAATAATGAAATAATAAACCCAGACACACAAGAAATGTCGGTCTGCATATATATTCATTTGTTATATTTGAACTCTTATTTGTATCTTTTTCAAAACATTGGGAATTTATTCCAATCCAACCTTATTTAGCTGCAGGGCCGTCTTGATAGCAGCGGGGGCCTTGGGCAAAGTGATGCCATTTAACCATTTAAGCGATGTTAGGAAAACTGTTGGGGGTCCCGGCTGTCCCATGCGCTATGGGTCAGTTATGACCAGTGTTTCTTTCAAGGCACTATTGCCAGGCGTTGGGCGAAATGGCATTTATCGTTGCAAAAATTAGGCATTATATGGCCCAAAGCCGGCTCAAGGTACCGGCAACTTGGGCAGTTGTCAGGGTCGCCATGTGCTTATGGCACCATCAACGATTTAAAAATAGGGAAATAGGAAGAAAAAATCCATCGCATGTAAGCGCTATGGAAGCAAAATAGAAGGGGACATAAACAGATGAGCTGATCTAACGGCTAGAAGAAAAGAAAATGTCATCGTTAGGCTTATTGTTCATACTGCCCACGGTAGGCGAATTGTTCATACTGCCCACGGTAAGGGAATTGTTCATACTGCCCACGGTAGGCGAATTGTTCATACTGCCCACGGTAGGCGAATTGTTCATACTGCCCACGGTAGGCGAATTGTTCATACTGCCCACGGTAGGCGAATTGTTCATACTGCCCACGGTAAGGGAATTGTTCATACTGCCCACGGTAGGCGAATTGTTCATACTGCCCACGGTAAGGGAATTGTTCATACTGCCCACGGTAGGCGAATTGTTCATACTTCCCACGGTAGGCGAATTGTTCATACTGCCCACGGTAGGCGAATTGTTCATACTGCCCACGGTAGGCGAATTGTTCATACTGCCCACGGTAGGCGAATTGTTCATACTGCCCACGGTAGGCGAATTGTTCATACTTCCCACGGTAGGCGAATTGTTCATACTTCCCACGGTAGGCGAATTGTTCATACTTCCCACGGTAGGCGAATTGTTCATACTGCCCACGGTAGGTGAATTGTTCATACTGCCCACGGTAGGCGAATTGTTCATACTTCCCACGGTAGGCGAATTGTTCATACTTCCCACGGTAGGCGAATTGTTCATACTTCCCACGGTAGGCGAATTGTTCATACTGCCCACGGTAGGTGAATTGTTCATACTGCCCACGGTAGGCGAATTGTTCATACTTCCCACGGTAGGCGAATTGTTCATACTTCCCACGGTAGGCGAATTGTTCATACTTCCCACGGTAGGCGAATTGTTCATACTGCCCACGGTAGGTGAATTGTTAATACTTACCATAGGAAAATTGTTCATACTGCTCACGGTAGGCGAATTCTTTACACTGTGCAAATACAAGTTAAGAAAAACAATTTTATTGTTCATTGTTTGTTAAACCCCATTTTTTTCCTTGCCCAAAGGTGTATGATTATACTGAAAAGGGGCGTCAAAGCTAAGCTTGCCTGGGGCGCAAGAAATCGTGGGGCCGGCAAGAGGCGTAGCGGAGGGGTGCAGGAGGGACAGATGTCCCCGGGCGCAAGATATTTAGGGGCGCCAAAATATGCTTTGATATTATATTATTGGTAAAAATAATGGGTTTGAGAGTTGAAAAAAAGAAAAGGGGGCGCTTTAAAATGGATCTTGTCCCCGGGCGCGAATCTTGTCCCCGGGCGCCAAACACCCTCGCTACGCCTCTGGGGCCGGCCCTACCAGGGCCAGCTCTGTCTCCATCGCCCCCACTATACATAACCATGGGGGTATACTTTAGTTTCGCTCCTGATATGTATAATATTTATACACTAATAAATCAGTAAAAAAAAAAAAAGATGGGAGATATAGAAAAGGGAAATGGCAGCAATTATTTAGTCCTAAGTGATTTATCTGAGAGAAGTTGAAGCAGTACACATTTTAAAAAATTCAGTAGGCTACCACCTGGTCGAATGAATCGTTTATTTGGAATTTCAGCTACGGCCGCCTAGTATGCTACGGTACAACTTTCTTTAGATAAATCCTTATTGTAGTAATGGGATATTTCGTCATAATTGGTGAGATGTGCATAATTATTAAGGATTTGTGAATTATTTTTTTTTTAAATGTGCTCTTGAGATTGTGTATAGTGCAGAAGAAACGCATTTCTGGCCAAGGTAAATGCTTGGATCTGGAGATCCACGCTCGTGTTTTCCTTATATGAGCTATACAATTAAAAAGTATGACGCTGCGCTGATGCTGCTAGGCCGGCCATGATAGTTTCATCTCAGTTTTTTTTTGGTGCACAAAAATGAACGTCTCTCCTGTGCGCGGTGTGTAAGGCAGATTTGCTGATTTCATGATAACATTTTGTTCCGTGATAATCTAAGTTGCCAGCTTGGCACCATGTGAGCGTAAAATTTACCAAAGGTGGAACCTCTGCTAGTTTCTAATAAATGAACATATGGTCCCTGTTAAACTCGTGGATTTTTGTTTAAATTAAACTAATAACACATCTCCAAGCACACCCCCCCCCCCAAAAAAAAAAAAAAAAAAAAAAAAAAAAAAAAAAATTAAAAAAAAAAAAATAAAAAAAAAAAAAAAAAAAAAAAAAAAAAAAAAAAAAAAATGAAAAATATCTGTTTTTTTTTTTTTTTTTTTTGTTTTTTTTTTTGTTTTTTTTGTTGTTTTTTTTTGTGTGCGCCCACTCCTATTTTTTCTCCTTTTCTTGGGTAGGATGTATTGATGTTTTACTGATGAAGGTATGCGTCAGGTGCAGAAACGTCTTTTTATGTAGTTTGTAAAATTATTATTAAAGCTTAACATATATTGAATATTGACACAAATTGTTCGTGTCTAAATAATCTATTTTAAGGTTTTATCACAGTCCAACACTTTTTACCCCATGTAGCGTTGCCCCCCTCCCTCTAGAAGTATGAGGCCACTAAAAGCGTGAAACCCCTAGACGAGTGAGGCCTTGGGAAAATGTCCAGTGTGCCCATGCCTATTTAGCTGAAAAAATGTATTCTTTTATTTATTTTCTATTTCGTTTCTATTTTTCAAGTAATATTTCGTACGGTAAATAGGATTTTCATTAATTTTTTTCCTTTTTAATTTTTTTTTAAAATTAATAATATAAATAATTATAGTACCTTTATAAATCCATTCATTTAAATATTACTTGAATTTCTAAATCTACTAACTTAAACAAAATTGCATACTTAAATGTCTAAATTTAGAAAAGAAAACAAGCAAAATTTAATCAAATCTCTCAATCATCTCGGTAAAAGAGTCACCGATAATTTTCTGCCGCTCTGTTATTCCGGAAGCAGAAATATAACAGACTGGATGAAGTGTATAATATAGTAGAGGAATCTATATGATTTCATTAATTGTTTGAAGGTAATTTTTATGATGAAGCAGAATTAACATACCCCAAAGCCTATTGAATGTTCACAACAAAAAAACTATCAACATTTTTATTTATCTCATTTTTAATTCAGCATTTCAAGTGCTTTGAGTTGAAAATAAATACCATTGCCGAGTCATTGCCATTCCTTCCAATTCAGATTCAAAGTTCAAAAAAATCCATGTCATGTTGAATGATGTTGAGATATTGTTGCTTGAGAAGCAGCAGTTTTGTTAAATTTACTCATCAGCTTTGAACTTTTTATAAATTACAAGCTTTCACTTGAAACATAAATGTATAACTTAGCATTTCTAATACTAACTTGGGCTCCTAACTTGATTCCTTTTAATTTATAGGGGCCTAGGCCTAGGCCTAGGCTAATTCATTTTAAATGGTGGACCTGGTGGTAAAAGTAAATGCAGACAATTGCGCCATGGTGTTTCCCTCGGCTGCTTTCTTGGTTGCCATGACCAATGTAAGGTCATGGGTCATGCATCTAAGATGGCGGCCATGTAAAAAAAACAACTCATGTCTGCTAAAATCTTTAACCCTAAACCTTACCCGAACCATAAAATTATCCTTAAACCTAACCTAAACCCTAAAACTATCCCTAAACTTAACCTGAACCCTAAGATTAAACCTTAAAACTAACCCTTATCCTCCTTATCCTGAAGTAAAAAACATGTGTGGCTACAGTTACACACTGTGGTAAGAAAACTATGAAATGAAGAAGAACATACAAAACAATTTTAAAAGGATGAAAACCTGACCTACAATTTTATCGAATACTCTTTTTCACACTTTATTGCGGGTTCCACCAAAAAGAAAATTCAAAAAGTTCTCAGAAAATCAATACAGTTCAATACTATTACCATTTTCCAAAATGCTGGAAAATTTTAATAAATTAACTGATTAGCTACCAGATTGAAAAACTCGCTGTGGCTGAATTAAATCTAGGTCACATTTACTACAATACAAACATTGGCGCTACCAGGGGCTCATGGCAATAACGAAAGAAATGCCCTGTCGCTCCCACCTGCTCATGGTAGTTAATCAGATAATTACCCAAACAATGAAATTTTAATTAAAAACATTTCATCATAGTGATAGTATTAAAGAAAAGTCAACCCTAGTAACAACACAAGATTTAAAAAAAGGACAAGAATCCTACACATACCTATGTCATGGTGCGGATTGTCTAAATTAGCCGGTCAGACTACATACTTAATAGGCACTTCGGTATAGCCTGGGAAATGCAGAAAACCAGGTATCATGATTTCATTATCAAAATGGCAACCTCCATTTTTAAACTCACAGAGAGTCTAGTTCACATTTTTTTTTTACAATTACCCTATATACTCGCATATAAGCCTACATCACATATAAGCCGACCCCCTAAAACTTCTTTAAAATGGCCTGTTTTTGTAAAAATCCGCATATAAGCCATCCATAAAATTGTCTAATTTTACTCCATATTTTTGTTTCATAGAAATTTGTTACTGTAAAGATGTAAAATGCTTACTTTTATGTTACATACCAGTTTGTTTACCTTTTGGAATGACACAAAAACGTGTTCAGCTCTTTCATACTCAATATAATTATCAGCTATGCATACATTAAATTCTTTGAAGTGACACCTCTGTATAAATATATTAGTACTCTGTACACACAACCAAATAAAGAGTCAGATAGCGATGAAAATGTGTGGCTGGAAAATTGGCATTAGTGTCTGTCCTTGTGTTCATTTTGTTTTATGCGCATATAAGCGGACCCCATGATTTTAGTATTGTATTTTATAGTTCTAAATTCGGCTTATATGCGAGTATATACGGTATATCCCACCATGCACATTCTTTTTCCACCCATATCTTAGACATATTATTTTTCCATTAGGCACTTTTGTTCTAAAAAGAATTTGAGGTTTTCTCTTTGAAAATTGAAGGTAACATAATGCTGCCTTTAATTCATATTTTTTGTGGCAAACATATATCGCTCAAATGAAAGGTACTTAAGAGATAATGTCATAAATTACAACATATCCAAAATTTATTAGGTTAGGCCCAGCAGTATGGTCAGAGAGATATCCTGACATTTTAATCATGTGTCCCAAAATGACCTATTATTGATAAGAGTAATTTTTGTAGCTAATAACTTGATTTCCACTGGAAATTCAGCATATTACCCCATAATACCTCATTTTAAAACAAAATCTCAAAAGCACCGGTAAATTTGTTTAATATGATCCGATTCTTTTGTTTTTAGTTAAGATATTGATTAGGGGAGGATTAATATTAATTTATTTATATAAGTATAAATATATTTATATAAAGGCCAGAATATTGTACTGTAGAGTATTAGTATAGGCCTGGCCCCGCCCCAACTTTGATATTGAATTAGCCTTTATTTAATCTCATATCATAACGACAATAATATTCCACTAGAGAATTATTATATAATCCTCAGTATTCTCAAATAAAAAAAAAAAACCTTTCTGTCACAATAATCCTATAATTACTTAAGGTGTTACTGAAGAGCAATCATAAAAACTTGTACTTACCGCAAGCAAATGACTAGAACTTATTTTAATTTTTATACATGTTGATTTGTGAAACAAGATTACCGATACTAACTTAAAATTCTAACTTGTGGCTTACCCCCACAAGGAGGCAGTTTGTAGATTATAGGAGGATATATAATGTCTTGGGGACAGTGGCATAGAAAAAGAAGTCCGCCTTGGGGATCATTTTTTCTCTGAATGTAGGGGCGCCATTTTTAGCTAATTGGAGAGTTTTTATGAAAGTGGGTGGCAAAGTTATTGGGATATAGGAAATGTATTCTTTTCATACAGGTAGGGGGTATACTTTTGCAGCCGTGCACACAGGTCTAGGTCCATGGTTTTGCTTTGTACCCCACCACAGTGTATGCAGCCTCTTTAAATTTAAATGGCAGATGTTGGATATTGTTGTTTTAAATACAAGCTAAAATTACATTATTTACTGCTGCTCACTGATCAATAAAATGAAGGCCAGAGTGCAAAATTATAAACTTTATTCTGTATCCCTTAGACATGTGTCAAGATCCGTTGACAACTGGCAGTCACACCCTTTCCTTGTGCAGTTTTAGTTGCAGTTTTAAAAAAAACAAAAAAACAATGTGGCACAATTGTAGATATTTCAGTTTTGAAAAAAAAAATTGAGTTGTTATCTCATGATCGGGTTGTGTTGTAGTGAAAGAACAGAAACAGGCAGTGAGAAATATATTGAGTATGTGTATTACAGTATCTCAATAGCAAACTGAGCAATAAAAAAACACAATTATTTTTAGGGATCAACTAGCCCCACTCTGTCACTTTGTAATCAGAAATATTTTAATTCCAATTAAAGATTGCTATCTTTTTCTATTGAAAACATGAACAAAAATTCTACCTAAAATCAAACTTCATGGTAATTTTATTTAACTAATTTTTGTTATTGTAACAAAAATAACAATGATTAACTAAAATTAAAAATAGTCAAACAAATGCTAAATCTGATTTTAAAAAATTATGTGGCCTCTCAAGTATGTTAATGAAGAAGTTTATAAATCTAATTGCATTATGTTAGTTAACTCATAATCATGAGTATATTTTTTTATAAAGTGAACCCTTTTTTTAAAAAAACATTTTAGGGGTAATTCCCTGAATTTCTGCGGTATTTAATAAAAATAACCTGACATTACATTTAAATCGAAATGTCACTGAAATCGGACTGTCAGTATTAATAATTGTGTTTAATTACATTTCATCAGATCACTACACCATGTCTCAAGCAGATGGATCAACCTGTAGCACACCACAAAGAAGTGGATCTGGAGAAGACTCAGATTCCGATTGTGAAAATGAAAATATTAGACCAAGAGGTTAAATATTATTTATCATATAAAAATAAATTAAATATCTTTGATTGACATATTGGTCAAAAGAACCTGAAGTGTAGCCATTTTCTATTTATATAAGAAGTTTGATCAAATTTCTTAAAGTGTGATAGTATAAAAGGCTGTGCAAGAAGTATTTCAAATATTGTTAATCTATATTTTATTTCAATTACAGGATTAACAGGTCTGCAGAACCTTGGCAATACTTGCTATCTGAACTCAGCACTACAAAGCCTATCAAATTGGTATAAAATTTATTTTAAAATATTTTGTGTCTTTTGATGTAGGATTAAAATTGAGTTAAACTTAATTAGGCTTAGATCAATGCAGAAAAACTGCAGTATGTGCCGCTGTAATGACTTCTAAATAAGCAGAATATATGTTCCCATGAATTTTCTTTTGACCATTTTTAAAAAATTTATCTTACAAGTCATTTAAATATGAACTATTCAACATTTAATTTAGTCACATTTTTATTGTTACCATTGGATATGAAGTTTTGAAAATATTGTATGTAACTGCTAACAAATTAAAATTTTATTTTTATTTTAAGCATGACTTTAATTAAGCTAATTAGGATATTTAATTTGAAATTGTCTTTGTTACAGCCCACCCCTTACCAGATATTTTCTTGACTGCCCACAACTTATTCGACCAGAAAAGCCACCTATGCTGTCAAGAAGTTATTTGAAATTAATGACAGAACTGTGGCACAAAAAAAGGTAATTTGCTGAATATCTCTTCAGTTATCTACAAACGTGGCATGGCAAACTCATCATCAGTTTCTCTGCGAGAATTATATTTATTTATTTTATTTTCATTCCAAGTACATTGAAGACAAAAATACTGTTTTCACTCTTCTGGGGAATTTACATGGAGTTGACTTTAATTTTTGTTTGGGATTACAAACATCATATTGTTATATTCCAAGAGGTTAACAATTTTTTACCATGTTATTATATACATGGCTCCTTTTTGTAAACTATAGTTTCAATTACAGACCTAGCTACGTTGTTCCGAGTGGAGTTGTAACAGGAATTAAAGCTGTCCATCCAATGTTCCGAGGCTACACACAGCAGGTATGCAATTTGTTTTCATTATATGGTGTTAATGTAAGCTTTGTCTTTTTGTATATGACAATTTTAAAAATGTTAAAATAAAGCAATTTTTCAATTTCCTCTAAGATTATGTTGAAAAAAAAAAACAACCCAGAGTACCTTGCTGCTTATCGCAGTTGCTAAAGTTGCATACACTTAAAAAGCATGTTGATGATATACATTATTGAGATCATGCAATTCAGAATAAATTTTAACTGCACATCCCACAATTGAGTTTTAAATAAGTAATCCATCACAAAGCCCCTCTGGTTTTGTGTGCTGTAATGCCTCCTAAATTTTACTATAAATTTTCTTAAAAGCATATTATCTCCAGAAGCTAAATCAGCTCTTTGATAAGCCCGTGCAAAGTCAAACTAATGTATCAAAATCTTCTGCGAATACTTACGTGGTCAATCTCACACTCAGTTTAATTTATCATATTTTTTTTATATATATATTTTCTTGTGTCATTATATTTTTCCTTCTGTGACCTAATGGTTGTTGGCTGTTTGCCATTTTTGTTCATAATTTAAAAATCTTCCACTTAGAAATCACTGTATTGTGTCTGATATCTTAGAAAAGAAACATCATTAACAAATAGATTATTTAAATATGCATTATAATTGTATCTACTAAATTCAATCTCTAGGACTGAAATAAGAAAAATAGAAAAGATAGTTTCACCATGTCTTGCCTAAAGTTTTGTTATTGATTGACAGAGATTTGACAGGGTTTTTTAATCTTCTTTACCCCCCATTAAGGATGCCCAAGAGTTTCTTAGGTGTTTGATGGATCAGCTGCATGAAGAGTTGAAAGTGCCCTTCTCTGATGAAAGTGAAAGTGAAGATGAGGATGATGGGGGTGGAGGAGATGATGATGATGGCTCTAATAATGCCAGCAGCAACACAATAACAAAACACAAGGTGGTTATCATCAATTTTGAATTCTCTCTAAAAAAAAAATGAGTTTTCTTTGACTCGTTTCTACTATTGAATTAGTGTAAATTGTATTATTGATTGTGATTGGTATTTCATAGAATTGGAATGGTAGAAGCTGACTTAGTAAAAAGTATTTAGGGTTATGGAGTAACAATAAAATAAAGATTTATGTTAATCATTATGATTTTAAGTGTTACATTCAAGTCAAACTTCTCAGTATAAATTAAATTGACATACTAGAGAGATGCCATGGTAATATAGTTCAGGATTCTATTGTGACACATTAGTAACACACTGATTGCTGGATATCTTGATAATAAATAATTTAAGAGCAGATCTCTTAAGAAAAATGAAATAAAAATGTCAGTAAAAATGACTTGGGAAAAAGTGCTTAAGACTATCCAGCCAACTAACACAAAAATGTTATTTTCAATGATTAAGAGAATTGTTGGCAGTCCTTTTGTTTTATGATCTTTGTATTTTCTAATGAAACTGACACAAAAAGTACTTAATAATAAAGTTTTGATTTATTCCTATGCCTACATATTGAGTTTTTAAAAATTACTTCATTAAAGGGGGACGTTTTTTTCCTGCATTTTCTTCTTTCTATAGCGGAGCGTAAAAGGTTTAGATATTTAGCTGTAAAAGCAAATGGTAACGATCTCCTTTCTCAGAATGCAACAGCAGACAATGTAAATCGCAGGTCGTCCCGTGATTCAATGAGTAGCCAGTCAGATTATGAAACCTGTGACTCAGGGCTTAGCAGTGAAAGGAGTTCAAATGGGGGACGAGACAATGGGTCAAGTGATGAGAATAACAGTGACACAAATGAAGCCTCAAAGTTGACAAAAACAGAGAGAAGTAGAAAGTCGAGTTTGCCTAGCCCAGTGCCCTCAGAAAACACAGATTCTGTAAGATTTATCTTTATTTTCACACAAAAATTAAGAATTCTTTTTAAAAAAATATTAAAGGATTTTTAAAAAAAATTAATTTTAAGGACATTTTTATCATAAATACCGAATTTTAAAAGATAGTGCTCTTTAGTTTTTAAAAAATTGAATTAATTTTAATTACATTTACAACATTGATGTCGTAACTAAAAATTTAATATTAATGGTACAGTTTATCAAAAGATTAATAGACACCGATTTGATCTCGCAGCAAATATTCCAGTCCATGTCATTGTTTACAAATTTTTATAAGATTTCCCTTAATATTATCAAGATGGTCCTTCAAATAATTTATATATATATATTACGAAATGCTGTGTTGCCAGAGGTAACCCATTTCTCTTTCTCCCAGATGAGGAATGTATTTTTTCATCACATGCTGCTCAATTTGCCTACCTCTCATCTCCTTTCATACTCAGCCCCCATTTGATAGTCCCAACATGTTTTCTTGCTCCTCCTCCCCATCCCAACCCCATCCAAGTGCCAGATCATCCACAGCCATTATTTTTTTTGGTTTACTTAGTCCATGTTCATTGTTCTCCTCCAAACCTCCATTGCCCTCCCCTGATCCCCACACTTAATTTGCACACTGTCTTAATGCTGCTTCTTTAATTATGACTTTAATAGGTGGCCAACACTAAAGAAATGAAAGAGACTGCAAACCTTTTAGAGAAAATTAGTGAATCTGATGGCCAAAATCGACGGCAGCCTTCAAGGATGAAGGCCGTAATGGAGGGTGGTGATTCAAGAGAGCAAGGAAGTTCCGCGTACATCTCTAACCCGGTAAAAGATGATGGAGCATCCCCGACCAGTACAACACCAACACTTGTGCAGCCTCAACAAACCCGTCCTAAATCTCCCCTCGGACTAACTACAAAACCACGTAAGTAGAGTTGTTTGAGTAATTATTTTTACACTTTAAAGAGCCTGGCTATAAAACAATATTGTCTTTTATCTTAATTAAGCATTTTATTTTTTAAAGTTTTTAAATTATGCAATATTTTTATTTTAATATGCATCATCTGACTTTAATGTTGCTTGTTTATTTATTGATGTTCATTAAAAGGCCACATGATAGTTTAATGCCCTTTCCCTTATTGAAAGAAAAATTGATGGTATCTGCACCCATGACTTTTATTTTTCATATTCCCAAATGGCTACCAGCGGAGTAAAAAGTATACGTTTTTAAGTTTACAACATTTAAAATTTTTCTCTTAAAATTTAAATTGATTTAGGGTTAAATCTAAAAAAATTTCAGGCAGAAAGAAGAATACCCGATTTGAGAGTATTATATCACAGACATTTGATGGGAAGATTCTGAGCTCTGTTCGGTGCCTTAACTGCAACACAGTAAGTTAATCAAAGCAGCTAGAGTTGTACAAGAGAAGTGGTATAAGAATTATTTCTCTTTTCATTCTTCTACTTACAGACAAAATTATATTTTAAACAATAATGTTTGTCCTCGATAAAATTGAATTATAATGGTGGGATCTAAATTTTAAAAAAAAAAAATAATTCAATATGTGCAATGTAATTGTTATCAAGTAAATGTATATTGCCTGGCTGTTGTTCAGGTATCAACTACTAAAGAGACATTCCAAGATCTAAGCCTACCTATACCAAGCAAGGATCACCTCCACATGCTTCATGCAGGCTACCTCCCGGCTGGTGGTGTGGTGCCCCCTAAAGGTGGAACCTGTGGAGAGGTGCACCAAGGCTGGCTGGCTTGGATGTATTCATGGATGAAAAGGTGACAGGTTACTCCTTATATCAATTTGGCTGCTTACCTATTTCTCGTGCCTCCACAAACAGTTAAATTGGTTTGGACAGATGTCTATTATAATGGATATTAGGCAGAAGAGCACATTTGAACTTTTTTAAAGGAATATAATTTGGAAGTAGAGGGTTCCCCAATATCCTCCCATGGTTTTCTAAAACTTTAGGTTTTAACAATAATCATTGTATTCACAAGCAGCTGGAGGAATTTGTAATCTGTTTTATACAAGCCATTGCATCAAACATATAGCTCGACTTATTTTAATGAAAAAAAAATTATTTAAATTTTTACATCCTTGACAAAATGTTATCTTAAACAGGGGGAAAAGTTCAAAGAGAAACTGTTCAAGGTATAATATTTTAATAAATCCAACATTTTTAGCTCAAGTTTCATTTCTACATTAACCTATTTCAAAATCCAATTGTTAACAAGTTGTTTCCGTTTAGTTGTACCGTTGGTTCTAATTATTTTTCTAACACTTATTTAACTTTTTTTTTTTTTTTAACTGGAGAAAATAAAACTAATAATGGAAATGAAATTCTTCTGCTACTCTAGTTGGTTTATTGGACCAACCATCACCCTGCAAGATTGTTTGCTGGCCTTTTTCTCTGCTGATGAATTGAAAGGGGACAATATGTACAGTTGTGAAAAATGTAAAAAGTAAGTTCACTGAGAAATTATTTCATGTGACTAATTTGCATTTTAGGGAAGGTTGATTTTTTTCTTCTAATTTTGTGAGGACAACTTGATAATTGATATCTTTAGGGATCCAGGGTCACAGGGACAATAAGACTTTAAAAGTTTCCTAAGTGAAAATTGTTTATTTTATATATATATAAACTTTTCTGTTTTAAAGCTTTATAAAACTGTTTTAAGCTAATAACTTTGAGATTGTTTTAAAAGAAATTTAAAAAAAAACAGCATTTATTTACATTTTTTAAATACGCTCTGCTTTTTAAAACAAATATGTTAAACTAATTAATTTGAGTTATTTTAATGAAATAAAAAAAACAGCAATTACTTAAATTGGAATGCATAACCTGAAATACTTTGTGCCTAGGGTCACTTAAGCTTATGTTCTGTTTTCAGTGAAGACATTTATTGAAGCATGGAATTGACTTAATTATTGGCTAATGTTATAATTTGATGTTACACTACTGTGTTGAACTGGTTTTGGTCAATTAGTAGTTACGAAGCTAATTTTTTAAATTATCTTTTCAGACTACGCAATGGCTTAAAATATTCAAAAGTGCTTAAGTTACCTGAGGTTGGTTTTATTTTCAGATTTTTTTTTTTCTATTTTCTAAAACCAAATATCTGTCCCGTTTTTCTATTTCCTCACAACCAAGTACTAATTTTGTTAAAATACTACACAGTAACATATTAATCCACTTTTTAATTTGCTCTTTTATTAATTTCGATATATATATATTAGTATCTCTTTGAGTTGTGCAAAGCACGAATCAATAACATATAAAAATAGAGGTGTTAATATTTGTTTTTCTTCATTTAAAATTGTTTATTAATAACAATTTCCTATTTTTAGATTTTATCTATACATCTGAAGAGGTTCAGACATGAGTTTTATTCCTCCAAAATTGGGACCTACATCTCATTCCCACTAGAAGGCCTGGATATGGAGCCCTACCTGCACAGAGGTAAACAATTTTGACTTCAACACTTGGTATTTTATTATCTTGTCTTTTCTGCTGCCTGGCCTTTGTTCTCTGTCTCCCTTTGAATAATATTCTTTATTGGAATATTATTGATGGTTACCTTTTCTTCATAATTAATGGTCATGACAAATGGGCTGTGTTAAAACCAATGCTTGATACTAATCAAAACTACTCAAACCATACATGCAGCTTCTTTTAAAAAGACTTTGAAAGTTCATTTTTTAAATTTTTTTTTGTAAAGATATCAAAAAATTGTTTTGGCAGGGTAACTAATTTGTGAAGAATTAGATCTAAAAATGGGCTACTGGATAAAATAACAAAAAGGTGTTTTATCAAATTGTTGAGTTTGTTTGTTCCTTTATGTCATTGTGCAAAGGAAATATGCAATTTTTGAACTACGTATGCCTCAGATAATTTAAAGATCTGGCAAACTTGAAATTTGTTAGGCTAAGCTGCCTACCTAATTTCAACAATGTAGGATTAGTAGAGCCAAGAGAAGCTTTGTCTCAGAGATGTCAATCAATCACTATCCCATGACAACAATAATTATGATCTCTGCTCAAGTCTATTGTAAATTTAAAACCTTTGAAGGATGACGCCAAGTTTTCATATATGAAATATTGATTTTCTGTGGGTTCTTTGATGGCAAGTAAAAGGTGTTGGTCAAATTTAATTAAGACTTGAAGTGCATTTTTTCATTCATAAAGGGTTTTAAAGCACGATCATTGGTTGTGTGACTTTCATAGTATACAAAAAGTGCTTTTGTGATGGCCCATTTCATTTTGTGTGCGTATAATCATTTTCTTTAATGAGGGAGCTTTTAAAAGAGGAGGAGCATAAATATTTCACCAAAGAACTCCAGTTTATCTTCACTAACCTCTTGCCTTAGATAGGACTGTTTAATTTTCAAATATATCTGATTTATTTTTTACAATATATAGTATGTTCTACATTTTCCTCTTAACCCCTTCATTAAAACTGGATTTTCATCTTTGGTGAATGCCCATGGTTTGTGAATGAGATTGTTTAAAAGAAACGTTTGAGCTCTTCCGTGTGTCCATTATTGAGACATGCTCTCTTATATTTTGCCTGTAAGCTAACCTGCTATTAATATTGTCAGTTTTTTGTTTGTTTTTGTAATTTTTTTTTTTTTCTTTTCTTTTTAAACCTTTTCTTTTGTAGGAAGCGTCAATGACTCAAAGTTTCATAAAGGTAGTTTTACTCATTATGTTGGTTTTATAATTGTTTCATGTTTTAGCTGCTTCTTTTGAACTTATTGTTTGTGCAATAATTTTGTCATGGATTGTTTATCTTCTTGATTTTTTGCAAGGTTTTTACCTCTACTTACTAACTTCAATTAGCTTTATTTGTGTTGGGTGGAAAAGTCAGAATGTGAAGTTAAAAGAAATCGTGGAGAGAATAGTATGTTTGCTTTTAGTTTTGATTTCTCTAACATTAATTTTGACTTGCATTATCTTCATTGCTGATGTTTGGTCTCATTAACTCTTTTGAATTTGCTGCTAGGCTCATGCCACTGATTTCAAATATTTGTATGCAAATAATTTGATCCCTCTGTAAGATTTTGTTGCTAATCATCCCTGCTCTTAGGATATGGCTTCTTTTCTTTCATTTTTAGGTAGGATACATATAATTTATATTTATACATATATTGCAGACCTGTTTACCCTCAAACTCTTAAAATTGTACAATAGCATCACAAAATCGTTCAATACATTATCTTAATAGTAAAAAAAACAACATACAGTATATATAATGTATACACCTCAAAAATCGTACATTGTACGCCAAAATCGTAAGAGTAAACAGGTCTAATATTGTGTAAATTTAATTTATACTTGAATGTTTTTTGTTTCACTAATGAGGGCATTTGCTAAAATGTTTGCATTTGTACTCTTATTCTGTGTAACCATAATTAAAGCTTAACCTGTTTTGTTTTATTTACATAAATTGTTTGTGTCGCATTATCTACTCTTTTTTTGTTTGGTTTTCCCTATGAATAATGGACATAACTTGTGAATTTAAATTTGACTTAAGCAACTGTCAAAGTTTTTTTTTTTTATCAACAGCATGCAAAGATGAAGTAACATTATATGATCTTGTAGCCATCATCTGTCATCATGGAACAGCTGGGGGTTAGTTCTATTTGTTTTTGCTTGTTCCTCAAACTGAGAGCTTCTTTGCACTTAATATCATAATGAATTTAAGCATTCTGACTTTTTTTTTGTAAATGTTATAAAATAGCAGCTTTTTTATATATCGAAAACAGACAAAAACAGGTTCAGTGTAATAAATTAATAAGGAAAATTTAAAAAGAAAAAAAAAACTGTTTTGTCTATTTTCGAGATTTAAAATAATTGCTCTTTTCATATGTTATGAAATAGCAACTTTTTTATATATCGAAAATAGAAAAAAAACAGGTTCCGTGTAATAAATTAAAGAATTTCTTATTTGAATTTTTAAATATTGTAATTTATATTTATACATTTTTTTCCATTATTGCCTCTTTTTTGTTTTGTTTTATAAAATGTAAAAGTTCATTACTATAAGTTAATGAGTAGATTTCCTCAGGTGGTCATTACACTGCCTACTGTTTGAACCATCTGAATGACCAGTGGTATGAGTTTGATGACCAGTATGTCACTGAAGTTGATGTCAGCCAGGTCCAGAACTGTGAAGCTTATGTGTTGTTCTACAGGTATTGGTAAAGCACAAGATATTCATTTCGATGTCTTAAATGAAAGTTTGTCACATTATTGACAAAAAAATTATTATCCATCATTGTTATAAAATCGGAGATGAGTTGAAATTCTTTTAGCTAATGAGATACTGTCTTTTGTTGCAACTAAAATAGATATAGTTTGTTAACTTCAGCAATTGGGGACATTTTACTATAAAATCAAGGTATAGTCTATATTTTCGTAAATGGCGCTCTCACTCCATGATTACTTAGATCAGTGGTTCTCAACCTTACTGGTGCCACGACTCTTTACTACAGTTTCTCGTGTCGTGGCGACCCCCAGCGACACAATTATTTTCGTTGCAAATTCATAGCTGTAAGGATATGTGTTTTCAGATGGTCTTAGGCGACCCCTGTAAAAGGGTCGTTGCGACCCCTTTGGGGGTCGCGACCCACAGGTTGAGAACCGCTTACTTAGATGAACTTTTTATAAATTATAGTATTTATGCTTAGTTATTTACCCTTAATACTTAATTTTTGAAGAATTTTTTTAAAAATTCAATCGCGTATTTAGTTTCTTTCATTTTCTGAAGTTATTCTATTTGATCAAATGTTATAATTTTGTGATTCAACAGGAAAAGCAACAAGGCTATAGATAATGTTCGTCAAAAAGTGAAGGATTTGGAACTATCGGAAGTAAGAAATTCTTTCAAAATAGTTAATAATTGCTGTACAATATTTGGTCATATTGTACATTCAACTCATACTGCTAAGGCTAATATTACTTGTCTTTAAACAAATGCAAGATTCAAATCCGAATACCAGACCTGTTTACACTTACGATTTTGGCGTACAATGTACGATTTTAAGGTGTATACATTATGTATACTGTATGTTTATTTTTTACTATAAATTTAAGGTATTGGACGATTTTGTGATGATATTGTATGCTTTTAAGAGTTTGAGGGTAAACAGGTCTGGAATTCTGGTGCTATTACATTCAAGTTATTGTTTACAAAATTAGAAATAGAATATTTATAAGGAATTAAAATTCACATTTGTTTTAGTAATTATGTTTTTTGGCTGCGTGACTTTCTTACAGATAAGCATACTGAGATTTTTTATCAGCAAACAGTGGTTGAGTCGCTTTGACACATTCGCTGAGCCTGGCCCCATTACCAACAAGGATTTCTTGTGCAAGCATGGAGGTAATGTCTTATGCTTAGTGTTTCCATCATCATCCCTTGTGCCCTCAGTGTGGCGTTCCGTCAAGAATCCATCTCCATGTTGCTCCATCCTCTAAATGTCGATCCCATGGTATTCCCATCATCTGTGGCTATTGTTTGTTCTTGGCCCTCTTTGCGCCATCTGTGGATTCCACTTCAACCCCTGCCTAATTTGGTGCTTGCTTATTTTGTCATGAGTGTGTGTGTCCAATATCTGCCTCCACATCATTTTTGTGATGTCATATTATATTGATAGAGTGTATTACATTTGATGTAACATGGCTGTTTTTTTATTTTATTTTTTTTGCAATGAATACTGTTTGTTCCAATAGGAAAAATGTGTGACAACCACATTGTTAATCAGATCACAGAGTAGCTTCTCATAAAATGGTTCATAAGCAAAACTGGAGATTTTTATAAAGAAGTATAAAAAACGAATTTTATTTTACAAGATTTAATAGTCTTTGATTTATTTTACAAATTGCACCTGGTCATAGGTCCAGAGATTCAAGTTTCAGTTACCACCATCTACACACATGTCTTAATATGAAAATTTGGAATTGTGCACTAAAATGTGTATCACAGGGGTTACCAAAGTAGTTTATTATTTTAAGTGCAGATTTTGTTGACATTCCAAAACTATATAACTTTGTGCACTATGTACATAAAATATCAAACATTGGTTGGCAACTAATGTAAAGTACATTATTTAAATTCTGAAGGAGAAAAAAAGTCCAAATGAGGCTAAGAGCATTTTTCGGTTAAATTCTCTTTATTTTTTTTGTTTGGCATTAAAATAATTTTGCATCTTGCTCTTACTATTTGAAGACGTGACAAAAGAGGTTAATAACTATACTTTTTAACTAGATCAAGTGGTTAATAGCTATACTTTTTAACTAGATCACGCTCAAATAATTCTTTAAATCTTAAAGCTCATTATTATCTCACCCAAAATCTTAAGCCCAAAATAGGCAATGACGTAATCTTGTAACGTGATGCCTGAACTTCATTTAAATATTACATGGATACCTAATGCACTTCATTTGGTTTAATTTGGCTATTCCATCTCTAAAGTATCCTAATTAAATTTTTAACCTTCACAGTAACAATTGTTTCTTTCCTGCAGGTGTCCCTCCTGGCAAAGTCAATCTGATTCATGACCTCTATGTAGAAATCTCACAGTCGACCTGGGAACTGCTCTATAGCAGGTTAACATTCTATTCACTGAAAATTGATACACAGATAAGGGTTTAAATTGCAGCAAAATTGATATACAGATAAGGGTTTAAATTGCAGCCATTTAAGCTTTTCAATGTTGGGCTTATGAAAGCAGTCATTTATTAGGGGAAAAAAAGTTGCCCAAAATAAAATTTCATGGCATAAAATTATTAAGTCACATATTTTTTTCTGAATAATGAATTGAAAGAATATTTTTACAATGTCTGCCCATGTTTTTTTTTTCATTTTATGTTTTGTTTTTTTGTTTAAAGAGATATGCAGAGCCCTTCTGTTAATCTCTAGAAGTCAATCTTTGTTAAGCAGTGTCATTCACCCATATTCAGTCTTTTGAGCCCTTTTAAGCTTACCATATGCATTTAATAATTTCTGATTCTTTCTCTGGTGACATTCTGCTTTTTTTTTTATAATGCCTGCTACACGCTGACGCCTATTGTCTCTATCTCCTGTTTAGATTTGGCGGTGGCCCTGTCTGTAACCATCTGTACACATGTAAGACATGTCAGAGTGAGCTCGAGAAGCTGAGACAGAGGCAGAGAACGGAGAAGGACATGTTTATTCAGGTCAGAGGCTTTAAATTTTTTATTTTAGTTAGATATTGCAAACACCTCACCTGGTTAAATTGCCACCCTGCCTTTGGTAATGTTGGACACCCTCGTGCATTATATGGGTTGATAACAATGTCAGAATGACTTTGATTTCAGTTTGTTTTTACAGTGTGCCTCTTGTAATTGTTTGCTTATTAGATCCCATTTTTAAAAAAAAATAAGGGTTGACTTTTAATGACTCAGTTTCCCATGGTTTGAAGGTTGACTTTTAATGACTCAGTTTGCCATGGTTTGAAGGTTGACTTTTAATGACTCAGTTTGCCATGGTTTGAAGGTTGACTTTTAATGACTCAGTTTGCCATGGTTTGAACATTTTGAGACAATTTATAATTAATTTAAATAAGAAATATTTTACAATGAATTTAAAATTATCATTTATATTTATTAAATTGAGCATCATAAGCTATAAATGTTAGTGTTCATTCTAATAACATTGTTTATATAAATTAATTATGAGATATATTTTAATGAATTGTAGAGGTAAGACTTAAACAGTAAGGCTGTGTGAAATATCACTTTGTCAATTGCTTATGGTTATGCTGAAAATAAAAAAACATTTTTTTTTATAATCCATGACTATTTGATTTCTTCCAGTTGAATGATGAGTTCCGAGAAGAAGAGCATTCAGCCACTGTGTATGCCATAAGCATGGCTTGGTTCAAAGAATGGGAAGCATTTGTTAAGGAAAAAACAGACAGTAAGTGAAATGTTTTATAACATTTTTTCTTATTGTATGGTGTCATGTGCTGTTATTGGCCACGCTAGACTTAGGTTGAGGTAAAATGACAGTGAAACATCTTGAAGAGAATGGATAATCAAGAGCAAAGGGGGTTCATTCTTAAAGTTGGTTTTAAACTCAATTGAAGTACATTTTATTTAGGCACCAATTTATGTAAGTGGACAAAATACTTTGAAGATTCTGCTACTGATGCAACAGAATTAGTAGTGGATAATTTTTGAAAAATACTTTTTTTTGTTTTTAATGGAAACTGATGATGTTACAAATTTGCATGCGTTTGCCAGATTATAGCAAATTTTTTAAATTAAATTTCAGTACCACCGGGTCCTATTGAAAATAGCCGCATCATCATGCCCAAGAACCCTCAACCCACACTGCGGCTAACTTCAGATTATGGACAACTATCTAAAGAAATGTGGCAGTTTCTCCATCAGATTTATGGTGGTGGCCCAGAGGTGATCATCCGTCAATCTACTGGTACCTCGGTTAAACCCACATCGTCGTCACCAACATTACCCCAGATTCAGCAGGGCCACGGAGGAGCACTTCAGCCAGCTGTGTCATCATCGTCCCTATCCTCTTCACCTTCTGCTGCAGCATTATCTCCAAACTCTTCAAACACATCAGCCATTGGTCAGTCCAGCTCTTCGGTGGTGACCTCATTTGAGACGACAGCATCCCAGACTACTTCTTACTCTTCTGTCTCCACATCGACCTCGACACATCCACCATCTTCGTGCACATCCATGTCTTGTACTCCATCTACTAGTGTATCTCGAAATGATGACCTGAAAGAAATGGCAGATAACTCCTCTTTATCCTCCACTGATGTTGCCAAAGTTGAAAGCTCAGCAGAAGTTCCAAGAGCACAATCCTCACTTAACATCTGTAATAAGGAAAATACACAGCCTGCCGAGCTCGTACCGTCAACATTGGACAGTTCTTCAGAAACGGCAGCTGCCGGGGTGAAGCTTGTTGGGAGTATACCTGAATATGATCAGACATCATCCCCTCAAAAATCGGTAAAGCCAGCAGAATCCAGATCTGCCCCAAACATTCTGTTAAATGGCACCCTTGATGCACCCAATAGGGCCAAGCTAATGAACTCATCTGCTCCATCCGCCTTGTTGGTCGCACTAAACGAAACTAAAGACAAAAACACTGACAGAAAATCACCAGCAGGTTTTCTTCCGAATCAGCCGCTGTCTAGTCCTGAAAATATTTCCGTTTCATCAGTAGCTAAGTCTGAAATAAATAAAAAATTCAATTCCCCTGCTTCCATGAGAAAGTCCACGGCGACGTCTAATGATAGTCTGCCAGACAGCGGGTTCAGTACCGACCACAGCTGCAATGACCTCCATTCAATACTTACTGACTCCACCAGATCCTTAACCGCTGCTGAGCTGGGTAAGCCTGAGACGAACACTAGCTTTAATTCTATAGAATCAGACAAACAGGTCACTTCACTTAAAGCGTCCTCACCCTCTACCGATCTCTCTGAGCCATTCATTGCTGCGGCCTGTGGATCAACTGTCGTAGATCAACCAGGGTCCAAGGTGGAGCCTGCTGTTCCACAGGTGGTGGCCAAGTTGGGCAGTGGAAAGAAGCGGAACAAAAAAGGAAAACACATGGACGTCACGAAAGTGTAAAACATTTTTTGGATAACTTATAAATTGGCTGTGTTTAGATAAGAACTTTCAAATATAACCTTAATGTTATTAATAACATTTACAATGTTATTAATAAAATTTACTGAATAGATATGCAGATAGTTGTATATATATGTATGTGTATAAAAATATATAAATATATATATATATATTACTTGACTTCAGCCTCATTGTTGAACAGGAAGCTGATTATTGGTCAGATCAGTGCTACAGTTTAAGGCAGTTTGACCAAATTTATAGAACAATTTTTCCCTATGTGGAAACATCACTTAAGAAATCTTAAATTGTATCTACATTTAGTCTAACGATGAGTACGTGAACTATGCATCTTCTGTCTAAATCGATTTATTCTAAAAAATATTTGTGGCTAGGATTACCAGAAATAGTAATTGAGAATAAAAACCAACTTAAATAACTAATAATGATTTCAAGTCTCCTAAAGCCAATACTTGTTTACAATGTATTGTTAATGCATCAGTTTTTTTTAACCAGCTAAATAAATTAATTTCATTACTTCTTTAAAGCTATTTTGTGAATTATAACCTTTTTCATTCAAAAAAATATATATATGTTTTATTAGGATATTCAAAGCTAGCTAATGTGTTATCAATGAAATGATTTAGCATGGCTTGTAAAGGTTGCAATATTCCAATAAATTGAGGAAATGTTAAGTTTTACAACTAATCTAATTTCTTTTTTTTTTTTCTTTTTTTTTTTTTCAAATTTGTTTTCCACCAGAAAAAATGTTTGTAAATATTTGATAATTTGAATAATGCTTAATCTAATTTCTTTTTTTTTTTTTCTTTTTTTTTTTTTCAAATTTGTTTTCCACCAGAAAAAATGTTTGTAAATATTTGATAATTTGAATAATGCTGAAATTAGTTTTTAAAGAAATAATGTTTAATGCTATTGCAAGCATTGAAATATATTATCAAGGAAATACAGAAGAATCTTCTAATAGTTACTATCAAAAGAGGCAAGTCTCCTAATTCAATTATCTGTTTATAAGGCTTTTAGGATCGTTCACTTGGCCAAACCAGATAGAAAAGATATTGGCAAGATAGTTATTTTAAATGGGAGAAACTTAACCATAAATCAAGTATCCTTTTGGTTTTTATTAGCCTGGCATTTCTCAAACATGTAAAGGCTAAAGAAGAAGCATAGATAGAGTTCAGTTTGACAACTCATTTGCTGTTTTACTGTTGAAGTTTTTTGTTTCTTTATTTTATTTTTTGCCAACCATGTTTGTCATAATAATTTGTTTGTGTCTTTATTTTAATTATTTGGCTAAATTTGTGTTTTAAAAAAAATTAAATTAGACTTATGTTTTTTTTCTCCATTTTTTCTATAAATTTTATTTTTATGGTGGTGACCATAAACTCTGGATAATATATAAATGCTAATTAGATTGTCCCGGGAGGGTGTCACCTGCCAAGGGTGTAGTTCACCGCAAAAGACCACGCAATACAATCCTTTTTGTGGAAATTTTCATCACCCAGTTAAACCACCTCACTACTCAGGTTTAAAAGATTACCTGTATTTTTCTACTTAATGCAACATTCTGACATTTGGACATCCTTGATCAGTTACCGTACTTTAGGGGCGGGGGGGGGGGCAAAGCGTAACAAACAAATGGCATCACCACTCTAGACATAAAGCCGGCCTTAATGTCTAATCCGGGAAGAAAAGTAAACTTAGATGGTTGAAAGAAGCTGTATTTTTTTGCTGAAAAAAAACAAACATATTTAATTGGTACGGTAAATGCCTATTTGATTACGAAATCAGTGAGAAGTATCATTATCATAAATAGGTTTTTTTTTGTTTTAATAAGAAGATCATTCTTATGCTTGTCATAGTCATATGTAGATATAGTAATAATAATAATAATAAATTTCATTTTAAAAAAACCTTTGATCCCTAATTAAGGCTTGAAGCACTGTACAAAGACAACCATACATGACAATTTATATTTTTACACATTAAAATACAAAACGCAGCAATACAAAATCTACATACAAGCCAATGGACAATACAAGCCAAATATTTTATTTCAGCAGTAGCTAAAAAACTATCTTGGAATTAATTTACATTTAAATATTGTATTTTAGCAGTAGCTCAGTAACTTTCTTTGAATACCGGTAGTTAAATTTATGCATAGTGATCCTAATGTTTTAATATGGAAATGTTCTAGAAATATATATGGATCTTATTAAAAAATTGTATGACATATTTTGCAATTGGAACTGATAAGTGCTAATACGTATACAGTTTTTAAGAACTAAAGGTGAAACACAAAAATATCAGTGACGAACTTTAGTTTTCATGTTATCCTCTTAAAGTGACATGGATTTTTCCATGTTATGAAATGCTATATTTGAGCCACCCTCTGGATTAGACCTCATGACAGCATAAAGAAGAAAAGAAACTTTCTAGTCTTTAAACAAAGTTAATAACATTACACAGGTACCAGGCTTGTGGCGGGGAGAGGCTTGCTGCTGGTCAATCATAGAATTTTTTTAAGCATACTTTTTGCAAGATGAATCAAAATAGATCCACAGATGTATTTTAAAAAAAGCATTTTTTTTTAAAGTCTTCCCATTGATAAATCCAGTTGATTGAAATTTCTGTGGGTATTTTTTTTGTTTTGTTTTTTTTCTAAATTATTTAAAATTTGTACAATTCTAGCAGAATTTTTTATACATAAATATGAATTATTTAAGAATATTTATTTTTGTTTGCTTGAAATGTTATACATTATGCAATCTAAATTTGCAAAATAATTTGATAATCATTTCTCCGAGTGTTCTGTGCATTCTTTGATTACGAGGACATTTTTTAATGGTATAATTTATTGAATGAAAGGTAGACATTTGCAGGTTCTTCCCTAATAAATCTAAAACTACATTTGATTTGAGATGAGTGGGGTCAGCCAAAATTGTGTGATGTCATTTATGGATGGCCCCAGCGTCAGTGCAGACTTGTCAATTTGTGGTTGACAGATGACGGGGGACCACCACAATTCACTTAAATTCATATTTATTTTATAATAATACAATAATTTTAGTTTGTAAAACTATCTGGGTGCTAGCTGTCCTGTTACTTTTAAATAAAGCACCATGGTATTTTTTTTTAAATTTAAAAAAAAACAAAAAAAAACAGGAATTTAATATAAATTCTGATGGGATTAGGGGCGTAACTTATTAAAATCTTTTTTTTTTTCCTCTGAATATTTTCATTAAATCTCTTCCTTTTCTAACTGGGCCTCTAATAAATAACTATTTTATTTATTTTTGTGTTTCATTTGTTAAAGTCATATTACATTTTACAATGTGTTGCTTGTGAGACTAAACATTTGGTTCATTAAAAAATAAAGACTTTGTTGTCCTCAGAGAGGGTTACCATTCTAAGAATTGATAAACTATGTACACTGTGTATCATTTAATTTATGACTGTTTGGTAAAAAAAAAAATATTGAGCTGAAATCCTGTGATGTTGCTTTGCTGTTGATTTTTTGTTTTGCTTCAGATCTTTCATTGGTTATTTAATACACTTTTTCATTTATCAGCCTTTATTTGTCGTATCGCAATGTAACCAAGTAGTGTTGTACAGCACTACCACCCATTGAAGGAGATACAATACATGTTCATAAAGTTGTATACCATTTACATTAACCAGTTGTAAGAGGCTTGGATTGGGCTACCTTCTTGAGCTGACACTATTTAATCTCACAACTTATTCAACTTAATGGATACATTCATTCGTGTCAATTTATGTTTAATCGATCTTCATTTTAAAAGATAATTTGTTCACTATAATTTGGAGGACACCCAGTCAAAAGTTAACACAAGAACCAGATACAAGTTTTAATTTTCTGTATGTTCCTCCTGTCCCAGATTTTCAATAGAACTAATATACTTTTAAATTTAGAAGAAAAAAAATGGTTTTCTTGCTGTGTAAGAACTAATGCCCCTTTCTCTCTCTCCCCCTCCCTCCCTCCCCCACCCTCCAAAAAAAAATTGCAATGTAAATACAAACCAATATGTATTAATCAATAATTAATGGACCCATTTCTTAGTAGGTGTATAATACAGGTGCATGCCAAGTTAAGTTTCCATTGTACTTTGAAACTATTCAAAGTGGTCTTTCTCTCTCTCTGCCCCATCCACCCTTTTTTTTTTCTTCCCCCTTCCCAAGTTTAAAATCAGTTAAACAGAAGCTGGCAGGAATTAGGAATATATTAGGCCTCCACTAGTGATAAAATCTAGATTTTTTGGGTTTGGTTTCATGCAAGAAATATTGTTGAAGAAAATAGAGTTAAGACTATTGTTATAATTTATAATCCTCAAGACTATTGTTATAATCCTTGTAAAGCAATGTGTTCTGTGTAGTTTAAGTTTAAACCCAGGTGGTTAAAATGGGTCATGCACTCTCTGCAGCAGAAAACCTTTAAGTAATAGTGTGCTTAGGCAAGATGGAGCTCCTCTATTTAGCTTGACTCTTATCATCTACTATAGCGCCTTTTTAGACATTGGAAGTTTTAAAATATTCTACTTCATAGATATCAGAGACTTATATGTCAAAATTGTCACCCATTGATGCCCATGGATCATTGATGTCCATGGAAATATGTTAGAGGGCCATTGAACTTGAGTTATTTTATTTCATTAATTTCTGTCTTTATTATCAGTACTCATAAAGTATATTTCACAATGTAGTGTGGTACATGGGATTTACCAGACTGCCATGGTTATTCATGGCTCACAGAAGGTTAAGAGCCACTGCGCTAGACTTTGGAATTGAATAACAAGATAAAATATACTTGCCTTTTAAATGTAACTATTTTTAACCAT